AATATCCTTTGGGCCTTATTGAGAATAATATCCCTTAACTGAGGAATAGACTTTCATACAGAGGCTATTTAGTTAAAGATAGAAAAGCTGAGACTGAAGGAGAGAGAGGGTGTTGAGTTGCCATCCAAATCAAGGGGACTCAACTTGTCCGCTCAGAGAGGGTTCTAACTTCACTCATATTCGCTCATCAACAAAACCAGATGTTCGAGATTACGCCGCCCCAGTTAAACCTAAATGACCTTAGACTAAGAGAGTCAAACGAATCATTAGCTTGAATATGGTTATAAGAATCATGTATTGCTCTGATGTTGTCCCTCATATGACGGACGAAAGCTTATCACGTTTCCAATTGAATCGAAGGTAATTACTTCTGGAACAGCGTTAATAAGAATGTTCCAGTAAAGCCAATCGACAACTGATCAAGAGGAATCCGTCGTCGTCGTCTTCTGTTGGAATCAACCTTTCATTCTCTTCACCAAACACTTTCACTCTAAATGGAAGTAAGTTCAACAAAAGCTAATTAGCTAAAACATTCTATATCGAACCATGCCTATTCATTTTCTTTTGCTTAATTGAGTCCATATAAGGGGCTGGATAGTCTTCTCGATCAAGTGATAACTTGAAACTTTTACAAGAATGAGTTCTAGCTTTGCTGATATCCATCATATGATGAACGAAAGCCCAGCCCATTTTCACCCGAAACGATCGAGGATGTTTCGTGGACTGGGTCAACTTGTACGTTGTATCGTAATACAACTGCAGTATAACGGGAATCGGCCTTTGTCTTCTGGTGGAATCAACCTTCAAATCTCTACTTCATGCACTTTCATACGAAATGAAAGTCTCTCCAACACTATTAAATAAAATGTGGCTAGAGCAAAAAGTACGAATATGTTGGAGACACTATAAATATTTGGTTGCTTTCTGCAGGGCAGACTCAGATTATAAGAATAAATATGGGAAGGAATTTTAGCCCTGGATCAAACGATGTAGATCCTCTCCTTAAATTGCGTATAAGTAAAAATAGTAAATATAAGAAAAATATTTATTTTCAATTTAAAATACTGTAAAATTATTACTTGATGTGAAATAAAGAGAATTGATTTTTTTGTCCGTATCTTTGCTCTGTTTTAGGGTTTCCGTGTTCTTGCCCTTGCCTGGAAGCGCCTTGGTTCTATTTTAGATGACTTTACATCACTTCCAACAAGCCAAATTAAGAAACCACTTGAAGTGGTGACCAGCTCAAATGCATGGCTTGCTCGGTACCAGAATTTGTCTCGAGTAGAAATGGAGACCGATCTGGAATACCTGGGCCTTGTTGTGCTCGATAATCCTGTTAAGAAAGCCACGGCGCCTACTATTCATGAACTCCAGGCCGCCAATCTCCGCGTTATCATGGCAACTGGTCAGTTTGGGAAACCTTTTTTAAAGACACGATAATAAGATAAGGGAGCATTTAGAAAACTCTTTAAGCATATCGTATAAAATAGGTTTCATCAAATCATGATTAAGAGATTTAGTCAACATGGGATGCATCAGTTGTTAACGGTTTGCTAGTTTAATTTCATACTGTAGTATGAGTAGGCCTTACATTTTTAATGAATTCACCCATCGTTGTTTCCCAAAGGGTATTACCATCCTGACTGAATTGTAGCTACCGCCTCGCCTAGGTGGCATCATTGTAGAAGAACACAACTATCACTACTTCACTAACGTATGCGGCCTAGAGTGATCATAACTACAATTTCTTAAGAAATCGGGAAATTAAGAATAGAAGCATGTATTGCGAGTATTAAGAGGAAAAAAGAGAGAGAAACAATAAGATATATTCACCCTATTTCGTTTAAGATGTTAAGAGGACTGGTAATTGAATTTTCCCACAATAACATGAATATATCATACGTTCTCATTTGAAGTTCACATTCAAACAGAATTGTACTGCAGATTCGACCACGCCTGAACTGGTCGTATCAACATCTCAAGCGGGACTCAAACCACGGCAGTGCGGTTTATAGTTTTGGCACATTAACCATTACGCCACATTACCACGAGTCCCCATGGGTCACAGGACAGATTTGAATTTCAAGGAAGGCCAGGCTTTTTCACATGTCACATTCTGTTGTGGGACTTTTGATGAAGTAATGTAGTCGATTGCACTAGCAAAAACAACTTCGCTTCATCGACAATCACACTACAGAATGTGAAATGGGAAAATGCCTAGTCTCTCTTCAAATACATATCTTCCCTGTGACCCAAAGACATTTGTGTCAAGATTATGCGCTAAGCTGTCATGGTTCGAGTCCCACTGGAGGTGTTGATAAGGCCTATAAGAGGTCTAAACTGTAGTTCAGCCGTAAATAGAATACCTTCTCAGAAAGCAAGGTTATGTGAAATTCAAGGGAAACGTAAGGCCTACCCAGCTTGTAAGCTTCATTATCAAAGCATAACTACGCATTTTCGATGAATAGTTTAAGAGACAATGGGGACTACTGGTGAGGTGTCTCGGCCAAACTTGTCTCCTCTTGTTCGTTAGGGTCCCCTTTATGTCAGATTGTATTATAAGTGTATAATTTATGTTATTTTCAGTTTATAAGTAGGCTTTTTAGCTACCCATAGATCTGATAGACGAGCTGTATTCACCCTTTTTCTCTTAGGATTTTAAAGTAATGGTAGTTGAACTTACCAACAATGGTATAGGTGGAGTGGTGTAGATTACAGCTGCGACCTCGCCCTGGTGTCATTAGCACCCCAAGAGGGGCTCACAAAATAGTTGTAAAATTCAACTACCAGTCCTCCATCGCCTTAAGCTAAAGAGGATAAATACAGTTCTTATATATTTTATTTTTTTAATTAAGTACTATTCCGATTGCAGTTTTATCAGAGAATCGACAAAGTAGAACATTTTAAATATTCACAGATTCTAGGATAAATTTCCAATTATAACAAGCATCTTAATCATCGAATTAATGTTTTTTCATGAAAAATGTATCTTTAGTAGAAATCTAATTATGGGGATATAGCCAGAGAATATCACATAGCAAATGGACACACAATCGAAACTTTGAATGTTACCAAGGCGACCACAAAAGATTGATCTGTGAACTCACATTAATTCTTTATTTACTATTCTTTCTTTCAAGAAACCGAATATGGATCGGGCCTGACATTATTCAGCTTTACTCGGTCTCGGCCAGACCGTTTCAGTTGTCTGCCTATTGCTCTTGGATGACTTTAAATCCGCAATAAGCCTGCATATCATCTGACAGCTCTCGCTGTTCTGTTTTCTCATCCTCCTAAAGAGCTTCACTTACTAATTGAATGCTCAAAACAGGACTATTAATCTAGAATACGAATAACTTAAGCCTAATCTCTAACTCAAAGGAGTTCTGAGATATAACAAGAGGTTTTAGTTACCAAGACGATGATGGCGACAAAATGTTTCAACTTTCTGTATATTTAACTAAATATAAACCCCAAAATGGTATTATTAGAGCTTACTGACATTGTCATAATAAAACGA